TTTGGTGCTGTGGGTTGAGTCACTGCTTGCAGCAACATCATCTCCTATGGGCATGGATTCCAGTCCTGGACACTCTGCTTCCCATCCAGCTCTCTGCTGATGTTCCTGGGATGGCATCAGAGGATGGAGATTGGGAGCATCTGGAAGTAAGCCAGTAGATGGAAGAGCTCTTGTCTGTAACTCACTTTCCAATAAATAAGTACATAAATAAATAAATTATAAAGTGAAAAAAATGACAAGGTGACTGACTTTGCCCCACTTGGCATTAAGGGTAACTTAATTTGATTTGAGAGACAGAGACTGCCCATCTTTGGTCAACTCCCCAAGTGCCCAGCAACTGGAAAGTCAATCTAATTGCCCCTGTGGGCTGCAGGACCCCAGCTAACTGAGCCATCACCTGCTGCCTCCCAATGCAGACAGCAAAATAAGTAGGGAGCTGGGCTCTCAACATCAGCATACTCTAGTGTGAGACGTAGCGGCCCAAGTAACATCCTAACTGCTGTGCAAAAATACACCTCTAGATTTAATTTCCAGTTAAAATAATCCAGAGAAAATCTGACCAACCAAAGAGAAGATGTGGAAAAGTAAAGTTAAAATTCCAAGTCATACTATAATTACAGATAAATTAAAGATCTAAATGTGAATGAAATGTGAAAACACAAGACATTCCCAATATACGGATGATCTGGAAGAGGCGTTTCTGGAAACAAAGTTTGATTCTTTCCTGGTAGTAATATGTGGTACAATCCTCCTTCCCACGGTGTGGGCAATGGCATCCAGCCATGCTTGCTAGGCAGCCAAGGGTTATATGGGGCAACAGCCAACACTGTATATCCATAGGGTTCTGTGTTGCTGCTAACCCATAAATTTGGTAGGTTAGGTGCATTAAATGCATTTTTAATTTATATTCAACTTATAATGGGTTTGTTAGGACACAACCCTATTGTAAATCAAGAACCATCTGCAATTTAGAAGAAAACATCAGAGCAGGGTCGAAATGGAAATGGTTCTTATGTAGAAAGCACAAACTATGTAGGAAAAGACTGATAATTTGTTTAAATTTAAAACTTAAAATAATAAGCACAACTGTAATCAGTTTCAAAGTAAGTTGTAAGTATAGAAAATGTTTGTGATTTCAATAACCAGTCCAGGGTTATTCCTTATTACATAAGGAACTCCTACAAAATACTCAGAGACAAAGAGTCTGTAAGATTTTTGGGTCAAGAGAGTGAACTGACAGCTGACAAGAGATGAAACTTAGATGGCTAGTATACATATGAACAGATACTTTGGATAGATTCAGCTGAATGTTCTAAAACTTCAGCCAACAGTGCCTTAAAGTCTAAGGGACATACATTTTATACTTGACAAGAAGTGTATTTGGGAGATGGCACATTTTCAAGTAGTGCAGTAAGGGTTCTGTGCTGGCCTTTTCGTAATTCTCTTGAGCTTTCTCAAAGTCCAAAGAAGTGGGAGAGGAGGGATGGGACATCTTTCTTTACCCCTTCTCTTAATTGAAATGCCTTTCCAGAAGCTTCAGTCTTTCTCTTTAATGTCTCACTACCAGTCAGAAGGTGGAAGTCACCTGTTTGGCTCAAGAGTAAACAGGATTCACTCTCTATACCGGGAAAGGGTTAATCTTCATTTAGCCTGTTTCTGTCCGACTCCTCCAGAATAAGAAGGGAAAATGTTCGACACAATTATTGACCTTTGTTAATGATATTGATGTTAACCTTATGATACTGACAGTATTAACACATAAATGAATGTGTGATATATTTTAATAATATAGAATGTGAAAAATACGTAAACCTGAAATAGGAAGTATATAAATACAGAAATGATACATGTGGCACAGTGCATTAAGCCACTGCTTATGATAATGAATTTCCTACCGGAGTGCCAGTTGAAGTCTTGACTGCTCTGCCTCTGATCTACCTTCTTAATACCATGCCTGGGAACATAACAGAAGATGGCCCAAATGCTTTGATCCGTACCACCCATATAGGAAACAGATCTTTTTTTTATCTGCTGGTTTACTTTCCAAATGCTTGGCGTAGCTAGAACTGGGCCAAGGTGCAGTGGGAACATCGAATCCAATCTGGAACTTCGACAGGGGTGGCAGGAACCCAAACACTTGGAGTCTTTATCTTTGCCTCCCATCATGTATATTAGCAAGGAGTTGGAGTTGAAGGACTGGAACTGGATGTATTCTTAACAGTTGTGCCAAATGCCTGAGGCATTTATCTTAAATGAAGAGGTGTTTATCTTAAAGACTATAAAAGATGTTTTTACAACAAAATTTATTTTAACTTCATAGTGGCAAGCGCTTTATCACTGGTGGAACCACCCAATTAAATAAACTGTGATAGCCACATGTTATAGATGCTTAAAGATCCGTAAAGGGTGAGATATACTTAAAATCTTTACTTAAAAAAGATTATGGTATTTGAACAGCAAAAAACAAGGGGGAAAAAAAGTATGTTTAGAACACATACACATTTGCAAAAAAGACACCTGGAAATTTAATCAGTATGTTCATTGTGTTTAATCTATCAGTGGCAAAACAAAAACTTGTTTGATTTTTCTCACTGTCTGTACATCTGCCTTTCCAATAAAAATAAATGTTTTAAAAAGTAAATATTTTTAATATTTTTAGTTTTGAGAATCTTTAAACCTGTTTTCTTTTTATAAATTGAAAAGGTAAAACTAAGAGCTATTTAGCTTTAAATACCGCAAAGCAAATAAGCACTTTGAATCCAGCAGGATTTATGGAGGTCGCGCTGTATGTCAGGCACTACTGTAACGATGAGGTCAGCTACCTTCTTTTCATGAAATGTCTTGTGTGGGGAGATAGAGAATAGGCAGATAGAGGAGTAAATGGACAAGGTGCTTTCAGCACAGAAACAGAGTAAAACAGGACAGTGTTGAAAATAGGGTTGGGTTGTGTGTGTGTGTGTGGCTTTAAACTGAGAGCTCAATGAATGTCTGAGTTGCTAACCTTTGGAGTGACAACTGCATGACAGATGGAGCTTGTCCTGTGTGAAGATGTGAGGCCAGGGCTTCAGCCAGAAAGCTGTGAGCGCAAAATCCCTCAGGTGGAAGAGTATCTTATTCAAGGAACAGAAAGTGAAATGATGAGTGAAGCTCAGTGAAGTTGGATAGGTAACAGGAGCAGGCTCACGTAAGTATTGTAGGTCACTAGGGTTTTGTACTGACATTTTGCTATATATGTCTTTCAGAAATCCACTGCAAGATATTAAGCAGAGAAGCAACTTGGTTTAATTTATGCTTTGAAAAGACCATTATGCGTATTGTGTTCTGTATGAATTCGTTTGAGGGTGGCAGATGTGGCAGCAGATCAGTTGGTTGAAGTTTAGACACAGATGACGAGATTTTAAACCGAGCTGGAGCGCTGGAGAAGACAGATTTGAGAGATGTGCAGTAGTTCCCCCCAATGCATACTTTCATTTTCTACAGTTGTAGATTCTGACAGCCAACTGCAACATGCCCACACCACTTTGATCATTTTGTCATAGTTGCTCTTTTATTATATTACTTGCTGTGGTTAATTCCTTACAGTGTGTAAGAAGCATGTTAGAGTTCAAGCATAACCTGGTAGCTATCATGTTCCAAAGGGGTTATAAGCAAAAAACCAAACAGAACCCAGGCAAGTTGGTGACAATTCCTCTAGTGTATGTCTTGTACTGTTGCTTGTGGTTCTAGTTACTAATACAGCCTTGATCTCTTTTACCCAAAGTTTTTGGCTTAAGTTGAAGTATTTCCCATAAAAAAAACATTGTTCTAAGTTTGTGGTAAATATCTATGGACACACATAAGTTATTTTGGAGACCTTATAGCCTCCATTTTTTGAATGAATTAATTTCTGCAGATTGCATAGAGGCTGTATCTTTAAATAAATCTTGAAGATAGAAGAAGCTATGACTCTTAAAACCACATTTTAGTTTTACATAATATGCTTGTTTCTAACAACATTTTGTGGTGAATAATGGCAGGGGAGGCAGTGATACTTAGTCAATAAAAACTGATAAAATTTGAAGTGAGTAAGAAGGATGAATAAAGGCATTAGTTGTAAAGATAAAAGATGCTGGTTTCTATTTCTCTCTTTTAGCTCTGCAGCTTTATTATCACTGTACCAAAAAGTAAAGTTACCAATGACCATTTCCCCCTTTTTCACTGGTTTTATTAAGTCCTGATCATTCTGGATTTTTCATGATGCTGTTGCTCCTTAATTGCAAATGATGTCATACTTCTTCGATCTCCCATCTTTTTAAGTGTTTACTTTGTAAATTACACTGTTTCAGATCCTTTCTGACTCCACTCCCCTTTTCGGCCTGAAGATTGGTATTTCTTATCAGTGTTTGTGTTCTGTATTGCTGAATGCTGTTTGCCACATTGTTTCCTCAAACTCAATAAACTCAAGTTTGAATTGTTACATTTTACCACCCATCCTGTGTAGCTTGGCTAACAGTTCCAAGAAGAAATATTTTGATGTGATCTTAAGCTTTGGCTTTTCAAAATCCCTTGCAGCCAAACTTTCTGCTATCCATTCACTTCTCTTCAGGTACTCCTGATATGTTGTGTGTTGGGCTTTGTCTTCAGTTTGGTTGTTTTTATAACTTTGTCTTTAATAGCTTTGTCTTTATGAAGTAGAAGAGTTTTATACACATAATTTTGTCGTGTAAATTGTAGGGGAAAATGCCTGTCTTGTTGGGGAGGAGTCTTATTCTGTTTTCCAGCGTAGCTGTCCAACACTGAATGAGTGCCTGAGAAGTGCTTTTCAAAATGAATTGTCCAAAGGATAAGAGCTTTCTTGGTTGCCAGTTCCATGAAGTAAGACAGTCAGTGTGACTAGAGTTAATGTTGTTTGTTTTGCTTTAGCCTTTTTTGCTATCAGGTGCACTTGATGTTGTTAAAGATACTAGTTCTTTTTACAAAATTGATGTCATAGTTAAGACCTTTTTCCTCTTTCCTTTTAGGTTTTGGAAGGAAGGATGTTGTGGAACACTTACTGCAGATGGGTGCTAATGTTCATGCTCGGGATGACGGTGGTCTCATCCCACTCCATAATGCCTGTTCTTTTGGCCATGCTGAGGTGGTGAGTCTGTTACTCTGCCAAGGAGCTGATCCAAATGCCAGGGATAACTGGAACTATACTCCTCTGCATGAAGCTGCTATTAAAGGGAAGATCGATGTATGCATTGGTGAGTATTATTTGATGATATATAAATTGAGGTCAGCGTGACAGATCTATGAAGGTTTACTCTTATTTCCTTATTGTAGTGTGGTAGTGCTTCTTCATTATAGATGAGGGGCTTATTGCTTCTTTCAGAAGCAGTTCTTTTACACTAAAGGGAAGTTGAAATGTAGTAGTCTAGAGTGGGGTAAGTAAAACAGAGCATTAACTGCAAGTACAAGTCAAATGCCAACTGGTGTGGAACTTAATTTTGATGGATTAGTGTTGTCAAATTTGGTTAATGTACAGTCTGTTTAAAAGACTGCAAATTTCAATTCCTGCATTAATGAGAGTTGTTATAAAATACAAATTCTTACTGAATTAGATGACATATTTTAGATACTGTAGGTTATTCAAGGAAAGTTATCAAGTACTAAGGCAAAGGCTTTTTCTTTATGTTGTTAGAATTGGACACCAGCCAGTTTATTAGTGCTGGAAAGCTTGGAGTGTTCCAGATCCAATGACTCAAAGTTTAATATTTTCAACATGTGCCACAGTCTGCAGAAAAAACTATTTCAAACAAAATTGAACTTTTCAACCATTTAAAATACTACATTATGTGAGATTATATTCAATCAGCATTTATTAATTTTGCTTTATTATACAACATTTAAAATACATTTAAAATATTTATTTATTTTTATTGGAAATGCAGATCAGATTTATAGAGAGAAAGAGAGACAGAGAGAAAGATCTTCTAGCCACTGATTGAAGTGGCTGCAATGGCTAGAGCTGAGCTGATCTCACCCAGAAGCCAGGAACTTCTGGACTCTCACACAGGTGCAGGGTCCCAAGGCTTTGGGCATCCTCTACTGGTTTTCCAGGCCACAAGCCATGAACTGGATGGGAAGTGGGGCAGCCAGGACTTGAGCAGGCACCCATGTGGCATCCCAGCACTTGCAAAGGGGAGATATAGCCAATTGAGCCATTGTACCGAGTCCCTTAAAATTGTCTGGAATTCTAAAAGAAGATTCTAGAGGTCAAGCAGGATTTAAGTGCGTCATCCATGTCTTGATATGGTGGATACTGATTTAGCCCATAATGTGTGTGATGACAAGTTTACATAGTTGTGATCTTCCTGGATAAAATCCAATTCAGTGTTATCTATTTTCTTTATTGTATAACTATACACGTATATAGTTATTGTATAACTCTATACGTCATTGTTAAAAATACAGTGATAGAATTTTTCTCTTAATTATTTAGATCATTCTTTAGAGCTTGCTGTTCCAGCCTCTACGATATTTACTTTTCCTCAAAGGACTGCAACAGTTGATGTACACCTTTTTTTAATTCTGACTCTGTGACTAAGCATTGTGACTTCAGTGTTGGTTGACATGACCTTTGAATAGTCTACTTTCCCAGTTCCTTGACACTTTCTATTTTTCATTTGATTCTCCCGTTTGTTTCTTATCATGCTCTTATCCAATTATTCAGACTTCAAGCTTTCTTGCCATCATCTCTTTTTTACTTCATCTTGTGCTAATCTTTGGACTTTTGTCGGTTACTAGTCATTAAATTTTACGCCCTTTTCACTTTAATTCTTTATAATCTTTCAGTGTCCTGCTTTTTCCTACCTTTGCCTCTCTGAATTTTTTTTTACTTTATGAACATTTTGAATGTCTTACTGAATCTAAGACATTCAGTATTTCTTCTTCCTGTTATCCTCCTGCCAAAAAGTACATAATGAATATAGCCCTACCCTCTACATTTTTTTCAAATAAAGAGTTAGAAATTGGGCTTGAGTTTTTAAAGAATGGACCCCCATAGCTCCCTGAGTCTTTGAGTTATGTTGCCTTCCTTCTGAGGTTGTTTGTTTGTTTGTTTTAACTTCTTTTTTTTTTATTGGAAAGGCAGATATACAGAGAGGAGGAGAGACAGGAAGAGTTTCCATCCGATGGTTCACTCCCCAAGTGACTGCAGTGGCTGCAGCTGAGCCAATCCGAAGCCAGGATCCAGGAACTTCTTCCGGGTATCCCACATGGGTGCAGGGTCCCAAAGCTTTGGGCTGTCCTCAGCTGCTTTCCCAGGCCACAAGCAGGGAGCTGGATGGAAAGTGGTTCTACCGGGATTAGAACCGACGCCCATATGGGATCCTGATGTGTTCAAGGCGAGGACTTTAAACTCTAAGCTATCGCTGTGGGCGCCCTTCTGAGGTTCTGATGAAGCCTTATAAAAGTTGAGGGGAAGGAAAGAATACCCTCACACCTGTAACCAAGCTATAATTAAGATATGCTGCATCTTCTGTTAAAAGTATGCGATGTAGGAATTGTGGAAATCCAAAGTGGTTGTAGACCTTTTGGTGTCCTTACTTAGCTTTTTGAGATGTTGTGGGAGGTCTGTTCTCAGGTATATTGAAACCTCTGATGACATGGATAGCCTGCTATTTTCTGAATCCCAACATAGTTAAGGAATTCCTGGGGATTTTTGTGAGGCCAGTTTTAATTTTGGGGTGTTTAGATTTAAGAATTGGAGACTGGGTTTCTTTGTTTTTTTTTTTTGTTTGGTTTTTTTCCCTATTTAGTTATTTTTAGTAGTTTTGAAAGACTAGTATACCAGATCGGTTCTTGAAAGGTTTTTGTGTAGATGATGAAAATGATGACCTACTTGTTTGAAGATGATGTAGGTTTCTTTATGGTGAGATAGATTAGCAAATACATTTGATATTTATAAAGCCACAGTACCACAGGCTTCGGGGAGCTCTGGGCAGATTGCTGTACAAAACGTGCTCTGGGCTTCACCTCTGTGTTTCATTAGTGGAGAGGGAGTGCTACTTATGCTTTCTTTGTCAGGTCCTTGAGGGGATTAGCAAATAGAAGATGTTTTCAAAGAGTTCATGGAAAATGTGTATTGTGGAAAAAAAGTGCAAATATTTCAAAAAATGCCATGAGTCTACTTTGGAAGAAAGTATCATCACAATATGACTTAGAGGAGAACCTGTTACAAACACATTCAATAAATACTAAGTGCTATTATAACTTCTATTATTAATGGTAAGATCTCTAAAATTATGATCATTTGCTATTGGCTTCCTGGTTTTCTGTTTGTCCTTTATCAATACTTCTCTAAAGAGCAATTTAGAATTCTTTAATCCATGTATTTCTTTCATATTTGCTACTTAGCTACCTTCCTGTAAGATGAAAATACAGATTCAAAATATATTTTAAAATGAACCTTAAATGCTTGCATAATTAAATTGACTACTTAAGACAAAGCTTATGGGGTTCATTATGGTAAAGTTGAAAATATTTTTATATTGCATGTAAGAAAGTTGGTGTACTTCAGAAATCAAATGTTCTGTCTTTAAAACTTACTAAGTTTTTCTTATGCCCAGAATAAAGTCTTCCAAAAAAAAAAAATCGAACAGTGGTATCTACTTTTGAATGTATGGCATACAATATCTTGGGATAATCTTAAATGCTAGTGCTTCCAAGGGCATTTTGAAGGAAAGTTATAGTCATGCCTTTTCTGGAGTCAGCTAATAATAAGATCTGGGGTTCTTAAATCAGCACTTTTTTCTTTTTGTATTTGAGTGTCTAGTAACCAGTTCATTTTGTAATTTCAGAGATTTAAGACTGGGTTTTGTTATGGGGAGTAATGTAGAAAGTGGCAGAGGTGCCACAATGCAATTAGTGTGACATTCTATTCTGTAATGTAGAATTTTGAGTCCAAAGTCTTGCAGATACTAAGGAATCATTCATGGTGGAGACTGGCTGCTGTGGGCAACAGCCATGGCCATAATGTCCCTACTGAGACACAACTATGCTTCCTTCCACTTCCTGCACGTTTTTATTTGTCCTTTAAGGTTGTTCAGTTGTCTTCCTATCAATTTAGTTTAAGATAGACATTGATCTCTATTAATTGCAAATGAATGTAACTGATGGAGAACTCTTAAAGACAGCTAAATAGAAGTAGCACAATTAGGCTTCTAGACAACGCAGAAATCTCTTGCATCTGTGTAATTCTCACTGATTTCATTCTATTTATATGTGTTCTATACATCCACTCCTCCTTATACCCCGTAGTTCTCAAGGGTAAAATGGATAGAGTGTATTCCTTTAAGACTAAAGGCTTCTTCCACACGCTGTGATAGGGAAGAGCCAGCTTGCAAGCTTCCACAGCAAACAAAGCTCATGGAGGTTCATAGAATTCCCACAATGGGATAATCCAGTGCTAGATCGAAGAGGCCCTGTAAACCAAATAAAAAGTAGCAATTTACCTCAGCCAAAAGGGGAGCTGGCAAGAACATTCAGAACATTTAACCAGGATTGGTAAAGAGGTCATGTAAATACCTAAGTTAAAATATATTTATTTAAAATGCAGTATTTCAAAGGCTAATGACTTTGTGTTTTGCTTGAAGGGCAGAGGAGGAATTACATTAGAGATCTTTTCCTCCTAGACTTGGGGGTAAGGAGGTAGAGTGAGCTCTGGTTCCTGACTGGGGATTGTTTCATTAAGGACAGTTGAGAGTAGGATCATTTATTGAAGCCATCAAAGAATCAAAACTTTGCATTGCATTCTATTTGTTCTTCAGATTGAAAGTACAACAGCATTTTGGCTTCAGTCTGTTGAATTAGTTCCCAGAGAGTTAGGACAAGAATGGAAAAAATGCTATTTTTTTAAGAAGCGATAGTTCCAAGTAGATTCTGAATACTGTGGTATAAGTTTAATGTTGTTTTCCTTGGAGAAATTTTTAAAAATTTAGAAACTTTCAACCATATAGCTAGTGATAAGAAACCTGTTTCTGATTGGTCATGATGTTTTACACACATGGAAGTCTGGAATATCAGTTAGGCTTGAGATTTTGAGACAGAGATGTGATTAGCGTTTCAGGAAGCAGTTAAGCAGGACAGGAGGCATGTCCAGAGTTTGCCCTTTATGTTCCCCCAGAAACAGTTTGGGAAACACATTTTCATTGCTCACATTGAGAGCTGTAAACATTCTGTGATCTTTTATAAACTCCCATGA